TCAATTGTATCATGCTTTTTTTATTCAAGGAGAAATAAGAAAATCAACCATATTTTTGTGTTCCTATGCTTTTCTTCTCCTTTATTTGTTGTTTTTACTTCTAAGGCATATCAGTTATATCCCAAGAAATTGAGTCAACATAGAAAAGGGAAGAAAAGAGCTAAGAATAAGAGAGTTGACAGCTATATGTAGTTGGCAAATATGATGAAAATCGACATAGGAATGGTAGGGGTGTCAAAATGGGATTTCAAGGCGGGTTCGGGTCCAACATGAAAATAACCAGCTATCAATTGACCCAACTCAAACCATGCCCAATTAGGAAAACGAGTCAACTAAACCCAACCCGATTCGGGTTAGGGTCAACCCGACACGACCCGCCAACCTATTTTTTATAAAAAAAATTGATAATTTCATATGCACAACCCGCTTCTTTTGCCAAATCATGTACTTCGCCCGTTGATCCGCTGGTGGTTGGCTCGAATCGCAAACGGCAATGTCACAATTTGCAAACGAAATTGAATCCCAAGCGGGATTTTAGATTTCGCACGCTTCTGAGGCAAAATCTATAAATCAAAGACAGACCGTGTGCTTCTTGTACTAGATCGAACTGATTTATAGCAAAGGCGTGAACGAAACTAGATTCGGCGCACTTCTTCGGCAAAAACCATAAATCGGATGATTGTCAATGTGCTTGTTTGGCCAAATCTGTAAATCGATCCGATCAAGATTAAAATTAGGTTAATTTCATATTGGTGGGTTGACCCGAACCCGACACATTTATTAAATAAGTCGAATTTTTAGACCCGACCCGTTGGTTAAACGGGTGAATCCAAACCCCAAATTTTCAGGTCGATTCAATTTTTGACAACCTTAGGAGTTGGTAGTTGATCTAGTGCGCTTGAGTAAACAAGTCTCAATAGATTTATTTTTGTCCCTATAACTTGGGCAATAGCTGTAGAGCGCCAACTATAAGCTTATACTAACAACTCTATTGATGATTATTAAAGTTGAAGTATTTAACCATGCAAATGCAAATTCCTTTGCATTTTTCATTGTGTTTTATATTTCTCGCATGCCCTCTATATAGGAATCAAGCAATAAGCGAAAGTGTTATCTCATGGTACAAACCTAGATGCCAATTCTCAACCCTACAAGTCATTAAACACTAGGTCTCCAATGGGTCAACAAGCCATCTCCTTGCAATCCCAGAAGGCAGGTCTAATTTGATAGCTCTTCTAACCCCCAAAAAAATAAAAAAATAAATTCCTGAGAGAAGTGACAGGATATGTAAGAAAAATTGGAATTATGCACAATATGAAGTCACTTAACAATATTGTTTAAAATTGCGCAATATGAGGCCCGCCACCGCGCAATTCCGGTAAAAAATGGCTTGAGGAGAGGCTTGAGGCCCGCCTTGAGGAGCGCATCACCTCGCTAGCATGAGACATATGTCTCACTCTATTTATGTTTTTTTTATTTAAAACTTACATAAATCATATACAAAAGCCCCAAAAAAGTATGCCTTCTTGCAACCCCACGCCGCAGCAACTTCCTCTCAATTGCCTCGACTTCCAACCCACTGCCTTCACCATAACCACCACCGTCATAGCCATCGCAGGGATCACTAGAAAGTTGCATGCCACAACCAACTCCTCTTAAAATTTTGGAGTATTATCTTAGATAAAGATGACTGAAATAAACGAAGAAGAATCAAATTGAGAGGTATTGGAACCTATGGGATGAGGCAAAAAAGAGACTAATTTATTATGACAGTGACTCAAATAAAAATCCCTCTTCGTAAAGATAGTACAGATGATTTCTGAGTTATTATCAATTATTTCAACTTTCATTAAAAATTAAACGTAGATGAGTAGGCAACTAAGAAAGAAAAAAATTAGAGTTGAACTTGATGTTATATGAGATTTTTATGCAATTCATATATTTTATGTTATTTTATTCGTATAATATTTTGATTTCAATTATATTTCACATAATTTATCACTTAACACATTACATAGTATATGATTTTTTTTTTCATATGTATGTAAATTTATTACTTCATAGTTCAATAGAAACTTAATATGTCATCCTTTAACATATTATTTGGATATTATATAATAAATCACTTTTTAACTTTTATTTTGACTTTACACAATTTTTTTGATTTTGAGTCTAATGCCTCAAAACGCCTTAAGGCTTATTTTGACTTTACTACTTATATGAAAACAAAAAAATAAATAAATTAAAACACCTCATGGATCCGATTATAAGGAACTATCTCATTTTCAAATGGTTACTTATTCTTTGAGCATTGTAGAGTCTACTGATGATCAAGAGAAAATCCATTTTTATTAAGCTATTAACAAAAGAGAATCAAGATAGTGAAGCATAGCTAAGATAAAAGAGTTGGGATGTTTGCAAAAGAATGAAACTTGGGATCCAAGTCAACTCCTTACAGGTGTTTTAACTAAAATAAATAAACTCATGAACATAGCAATACACAAGGTAGACGAGGGAATTCACATAAAGTCAATGCATGTAGTCATCTTTATAACGACATGGGCTCATGCCACTGAGTACATAGTAACAAAGTAAAGACCGTCCCATTACTAAGCACTGACCACTACTCGGACAATTTGTATTTAATTGAGTACTAGTGTTGGTTGCAAATGAATATTCAAGCACAGATAAAGAATTCAGAATGAAGATAACATCAAATACAAAACACAATTAACTATAGTAGCCTAATAGCTATAGGAGTAAAAATAGAACCATGCTTAAAAACATGCAAAAAGACTACAAAGTACATACATTTCTAGAAACGTATGTACTTTGTAGGCTTTTTGCAAGTTTTTAAGCATGGTTCTATTTTTACGTCTATAGCAATCATTATAGTGAGGAACGTGGAATTAAAATAAATAAATATAAAGAAAATTTGGTCAATGCTGATTTTTATGAGAAGATTCATATGCAACAAAACAACCTAGGTTTTAAGTTGCCAGAATGAAGAACAAATGTGTCAATTGAATTAAGTCTTTCTATGGCATGAAGTCTCCCAAACAATGCTAAAGGAAATTTGATAATTTATTGATTACTCATGGGTTTGTAGAAGCCCGTTTGCCAATTGCATGCATCACAAGTAGCTTACAAATGGATCTTTTGTATATATACTCCTATACGTTGATGATATGCTGAAAACATATCCAATATCCAAAATGTAAGAGATGATTTAAGAGTAATATTTAAAATGAAAGATTTTGGTGCAACAAAAAAAATAATAAAACAGAAAACAATTTACTTCTAACACAATAGAGATGCATTGAGAAAGTATAAAAAGAATTGTTTGCACACAACAGAATCTATCACTTCTCCATTTACTTGTCAGTTTTGTTTTCCTGCAACTTTTTCTCCTCAATCACCTAAAGAGAAGTATATCACTACAGTGACATATGCTAACTCAATTAGAAGCATCATGTAATGGTATGTTGTGTATTTGTGCATTTCACATGCCATTAAAGTTTGAGAAAACACCTGGGAAGGCCTAGGGCTCAATGGGAAGTAGCAAAATAAATTTTGAGATAACTTAGAGGCACTAATAATTATGATTTGATATATGATTGAGACAAATCTAACTGCAATGCTTTGTAATTTTCATAATCCGATTATAATAGTGATCTTGATAGGAGGAGATATCAAGCTAAGTATGTCTCCAGTCTAACTTGATGTGAGATCAATTTGAATACTTGTCTTCAATCTACAGCTACTTTGCCCAATAAAGGGTATAATATGCAACTTTCAACAACTATTAAGGTTATTCCATTGAAAGGCCTTGAAGACTTGGTTTTGAATTAAAGCAACTCTTATTTGTTATGATAATCTGAGTGCCCTTCACTTACCAAAAGATCAGATATAACTTGAGAGAACCAAGCATATTAATGTATGGTACCATAAAATTATAAAAGCAACTTTAACAATTCTCTTTTTAATTTTGAACGTAACTCCTAGTAGTTTACATCACAAGCATATTAATGTATGGTATCACTTAGTCAGAGCTATGGTTCAAGATGTTGGGCTTTTAGTTTAGAAATATCTACAAAAGCACAATAATACCAACATGCTTACCAAATTCAAGCAAAGCTTGGACTAGATTGGTTTGTATGGTTGTTGATGCCCTTTAGGGCCTTCGGTGAGTAGGATTTGATGATTTGAGCATGACTTAATTGTCTACATTATTCCCTTTTATATGAAAATTTTGATATAAAAAAGAAATGTTGGGGTTATGTCAAATAGCCTTAACGGAAATATTATAATTACCTAACTAAAACTCAATACCAATACTAGAAAAACTTAAATAAATGTGTAACAGGGATGATTTGTTGCAATGCACAACTATTTATTATAAAACCCATAAAATAAATTGCTCCAAAAAATCTGAGGGTGGAAATTTTAAGACATCCTAGCAATTGATTGATGAGAGGGAGAGGAAAAAATGTGATTCTTTTCATTTAAAATTTGATTAAAGAGGGAGATACATTGCTTTTGTGCTCCTAGAGATTTGGTGATAACTTTTTTTTTCTTTTATTTGGCTTTCTTTTTAAGGAAGATAGCTCCAAATTCAATGAGATCTTCTTTACACCTTATTAGTTTTACGAGAGTGGATTTGATTTGATCTGTCATGTTATTCCTCTAAATTTAAACTCCTTGTAGATTTTACTATGGATTTATTTGTGACTCGCCACGTAGATGCCTGTCTTTATTGATCAAAACATTTAAATCATGGTGTTCTTCTCTCTATGATTGTGTTTATTGTTTTCTGAAATATTTGTGTGTAAATTCATTTTGTTGTATGCTAGATTAACTCAATTGATGTCTTTGGTTTTCTCCAAAAAAAGTAATTTATGACAGTTTAGTTACAACACATCTAAAGCAAGTAGATATTCACAACATATGAACACGAGTAAAAAATTTGCATCGTTTTGACAATTTGAGAAGAGACCAACCTTTTGTAGAGCAAACTCTATTTCTACATCTCCACTACCATCTTGCTGTGGCATATAACCTCCTGGTGCCAAATGAGAAGCATAATCATCTCTTTTGCGCTTCCCAGCAGATATCATGAAAAAATCCTACACATACAAACCCAAAAGTCAAACAGATGCCATGAAGTACTCACTGAAACTTATAATATAATATTCTGAGAATGTCTATCAGAATATTGATGAAGGGAGCTTAAATAAATGTTTAAGATCTATAATTAGAAAAGTAGGGAAACAATTCACGACAGTAAACACCAAACAAAAGCAAGATAACACCTCAAAATATGTATGCTTCTGAAGAAGAGTTAAAAGAGCAATGTATGGCATTCAACAAATAAATAATTTATATTTAGAATTTAAATTGTCAATAAAATGAAAAAAAGAACTACCTGGGTCATTGGCTGATGAGGAGCTCCCCTATCAATGTCTTCACGACCCTCAACATAAGCTATAGTATCCCATAGTGAAAAAACCATAAATTCATGATAGACAAGCATATCATTGATATCATGATATATGATGCAAGTTTAAGTATAATATGATACATACCCACATTGACATCAACTCCTAAAGGCCTCTGATTCATCCAAGGAGATGGGGGTGGCTGCACGAATGAAGATAATACCTCATTAGTTATATAGTAATACATAGTAATGCAGACATATGAACACATTTCTTCATGTCTAAATTCATCAACATAATTTTCTCTTATCAAACACCCTCAGTAAAAAGAATGTATCCTTGCAGCAACATTTTCATTTTTCAGTAGATCTAAAATAAAACATTCAGCATAACATCCAGATTTCAATGAAGTTTTCATAAATGAAAATAGAAGGATCAGACTGCTGTACCATGTACGGACTTGGCCTTCCAGGTTTCATATCACCACCATTCCTGCTATCACTAACCAGAGCATAATCAGAGGGTCCTGTAGGTATATTATACATCTGATCTAGTCCAGGCAATGGAGTTTGAATTGGGGTTTGTGGCAATGGGGTTTGTGGCACCGGGGTTTGCAAAGGAGTCTATATCCGTTAACCCACGAAACACAAATAAATCATCAGAAAACAAAACTAAAACAACTTTTCTCCAATCAAAAGAGGCAAATAATAGTAAATTTTACAGGCGGGAAGAGCATCTCGGCTGTGGGGGTCTCATACTCCTCCACGGGCGGGACATTAAGGTCATGCACTGGGGTAATCGGGCCAGTCTGCTTCTGAAGCGAAGGCCGTTCCATGTTAGGCGATATAACCCCGCAATGCATCATCCTCGCCTCCCATATCTGAGATTCCCGAAGTTAGCATATCGCAGCCACATAACCAATTAACCAAATAAAAATCCTAGGAATCGCTCAGATCGGATAGAAAATAAATTACCGTCTGAAGCTCGCCGAGGACAGTCTCTCCGGCGCCAGAATTGATAAACTCATCCCGGACCTTACTGATGACATCTTCAATTACCTGTAGATAAACGGAAGAGACGCTACCTGCCATCGATCACCACGGGGATCTGGCGCCTTTAGAGGATCAAAGACAGCGCGGGACCCCTCCGGCAAATTACAGCTGGAAGTGATCCAATAATTGATGTTCTCAAGGTTAATGGCATCAAAGAATCCGAGGCTTCGGTGCTCTAGGGTTTCGAGTTCGGCTTGCAGTGTACAGAGAGAAAGAGAAAGAGAGAGAGAGAGAGATGAGGGAGCTGCGGACGAGAAAGCAGGGAATTAAGAGGAGAATATAAATAGGTTTGCATCCGTTTGTGGAGTGGGGCCACGTGTAAACATCTGGGCAACTTGGGTTGATGGGCGGCGTTGGAGAGAGCCCATGGGCAGTCAGCGGACCAAATGAGCGCACCCATTTATGTAAGGCGACCACACCAAAGGAGCTAGATTTTTATTTTTATTTTTTGGAAATTTGGGCAAAGCCCGTATATTAATAACAAAGAGATTACAAAATTGTAAGAAAACAAAAAGGCCCATCAAAAAAGAGAGGGCAAATGCTCAAAAGAGCACAAAATCACAGCCAAAATCCAAAAAAAAAAAATGCTCCAAAACTATAAAACCATGACTCATAAATAAATCAGAATGATTGACAGACATTAATCCCCGGTTGCCTGAATACCATTCAAGGGGGCAGTCAATCATAAACTAGCAAATGGAGCTTCATCATCGTCCAGTCCAACAAATCCAACAGTCAAGTAAACGGGACGAGATAACGCCTGCCATATCAAAGCTTTTCCAGCAAATTGATCGAATTTTTCCACTTTAATACTTTCTCGAATACCACTCTTTTAATACCGATCAGCAAGAAAGAGCTACTTTGTATATCAAACCCAAATCTCTGATTGTTCCTTTCTTTCCATATTTGATATATAATGAAACAGATATTTAGCATGTAATAGTTTTAAAAGAGTGGAAAAGTACCACACCAAAGGAGCTATATTTTTATCTGCCGAAGATTTACAAGAAAGTCCCCAATATTTTTAATAAGGCCTCATATGATTCTTTATAAATAATAATAATAATTCTTGAAATGATTATTTCATTTCATTTATTTTCAATGCAAAAATAAATTTTAATTTTTAAAGTATTGTAACTTTTAAAATTGATATTAATTTTAATTATATTCATTAAATCAAATTTAGAAAATCTTACCTATTTTAAGAATATAACTTCTAACTAGAAATACCAAATGAGCTCCAAGGATTAATGAGGGGTGGAAAATATAAGGTCTTCCCAATAAATATTTATTTGTAAAACAAATAGGGCACCTTTTTTGGTTGTAGTTAGAAATAGAAATCTACTGGAAAATGACTAAGGGTTTGTTTACAGTGTTTGGTTGCAAAAATTATTAGTTTGAAATAAAAAATGTGAGGATTTTCTTCTTTTATTTTCTATTTGAAGTAAATTAAATGAAAAATATTTGGGTAGGAGATTTAGAATATTCTAGAATGTTTATTATTTATGAATTTAAATTTCATCAACATAGGATTAATCCTAAATATAAGAAAACTCATAATCTGCAACCTCACTAAACTGACATTACCTATTGTCACTATTCATCGTCTCTTCTTCCTTTGTTATCACTCATGTTAAATCACATATATGTGATATCTCATCAAAAATTTATCTTGAACGGGCACAAATCTCGATGCAAAATCAAATGGAAAACCATCAAAATTAAAATTGGAACTATCTGAACTTCGACTTCAGCAAACTTACAATCAAATTGAACGTCTCGAAAATATGAACCCAACGACACAAAATTCGACTCAATCCGAGCCCAAATGGGTCCAAATAAAAAACCGACACGCATTTGGAAAGTTCTAGTCATAAATTGAATGTTCAAACAATTTCCAAACGTGACATGCTTATAATTAAATTGAGCGGCTTGATGAGAATAACCCAACAAGCACAAGATCAACAAATTCTAATATCATTAAGACCTTCAAATGTCTAGGTGATGAATATTGGTCATTCATTCAAACCACTTCCAACTTACCCTTGATCGCCCTCCTATTTACTAGCAATGCACTTATATAAAATTATAAATAGACCATTCATTCCTCATGGAAGGGGACTCAAGAAAATAAGAGAATGAAGATAGAGAAACTATAGTTCTATTGTCACCAAACTCCTCCTCAAGCATCGCTAGATTTCCTCCTAGCCACCGATCGACCAACGATAGATTTCTGTCAAGCCACTGACTAACGCTAGACATCTGTCCGGCCGCCAGCTGAAGTCAAACTTCCGTTCAGGCGCCAATTGAAGACGAACTTCCGTTCAGCCATCGACTGACACCAGATTTCTGTCGGACCAACAAATGTCATCGAACCTCCATCTAATCTCCGTTCGTCTCTAGATTTCAACCCGACGGTTGACTATTGTAATTTAATCGTCCTTAATTTCGATGATTAATCATCCATTTGTAATCTATTTAGACACTAGTGGAATCATTTTAACTAGGCATGTGTGGTTTTTCCCTTTTACAGGGTTTTCCAAGAAAAAAAAAATTGTTTTTCTGAATTCCCTATTTGTGTGCTGGATATCAGTACAGCGCTGGAACATAAAATTCTAACTCTATCGCTGCATATATTCTAGCCTGCAACATTTGAATGTGTATTATTGGGCAAATCTTAGATTTCATTTGGGACAGTTTTTTATATTTTATTTTATAAAATAGCTTTTCAGCATAAATTTTTTTTTGAATTTGAAATTTAAAAAAAAACTACTTTAAAAAGTAATTAAAAAAAACTGTTTGAAACGAAGTCTTAGATATCTTATGATCTTGCATTTAAAAAGTGGCCTATTACGCCATCAAAATATAGGTTGGAGATGACAAATCTGTAAGTGGTAACTCAGGCATATACAGTTGCTTCACCTTATACAATAACAAATAATCATTAAAAAATAAGGTTTGTAATGATCATACGGACCTATATATCTAGATGCTCAAGGCTAATGATTCGAAAATAAAGATATAAAGACTAATCATCTTTAATCATGCTAAAATAAGGTATTTAAAGCTCTAAGATAATATTAAAGTCTCTAAATAAAGCATATGTTGGCTTATTCTCCACCCAAGTTTATATTTCAATACAAATGAGCGATATAATGAAAAATCCAACCCAATTAGCTTGTATGTGGTTTAGGTTCCTCTAAGTGTTTATAAGCATTAAAACTAAGGACAAACTCTTTAAGTTATAATGCCTTCAACACTTAACGATTGAATGACTACAAAATATATTACTTTGCATCATTTGATCTTTTGTTAAAGAGGACAACAACGTGGTTTTCTTGGCTTAGGATGCCACCCATACCAACCATGGCTGCATATCACGAGTAAGATAAAATGTCTTTGAAAAATCTGAACTTCTAAAAATACGGAAGGATATCATTAATTTGGACATTAATCTACTCTTGTTGAGTACTAGCAATTTTGAGTTGATAGAGTGTTTTATTTTACGTTTTTGTGTAGTATAAAAATTCAGCACACACATATAAAAATAGCTAGATCTAAATTTTTTTACGTAAAAATTTGGGAAAAGGAAAAGATCACGGGTTCTGACCCAATAGAAAAATTCACTATATAGTAAGGGATGCAAGAATCGTTCTTTCTTCAGTGTTGAAGAAGTGGGGGATTAAAAAGACTTCTGATTTTTCTTGAGAGAGATTAAAGAAATTCAATATCCACAAAGAGACAGTTAAGACCCAATAATAAGACTTGATTTCACTAATGGCAAGTGTCCACAAGCAGGCAGCTATACCCAACAGCAGAGTAATCTTATAAAAATTTTGGGAATGGTGGTGATTACTAATAGTGATCATCAGTGGCGATGGTGCATGGTTGTCAGTGGTAGTAGCTAATGATGGTCGTCGACAGTGATACAAGAGGGCTTTCTAATTCTTTTTACTCCCTATTTATAAGTTTTTTGGGATTGACATTTTGCAATTTGAACTATAATCGAAAACACTCTATCGTATAGTCCATATTGATTCAATTGATCATAAAACGTTAATTTAGCCTCCAAGTACCCTAATGATGTCATAATTGAGTGATCTTGTGCTCGTTTGATTCGTTTCGTCGAGCCGCTCTATTTGACCATAAGCATGTCTAATTTGGAGATCACTGAATTAATGTTTGATGTTGTCAATCATATTTCAAATGTTTATTTGGGCTCATTTGGGCCGATTGGACCACCTTTAGTTCTGTTGAGTTCATCTCATTCAGTTCAACCATGAATTTGTTGAGATTGGGGTTCATATGATATTGAATTGAATTTCATAAGTTTATAATTCCAATTTACTTTGAAATTTGTGCCAACTCTTGCTTATTTTTTTATAAATATAGCATTTAACCTCCTATTTTCGGATATAGAGCTTATTGCATCCGAAAATATATTACAATTCTTCAAAAACTATTGTGATATAAAATTATAATAATTATAATCGATCACTCCCTAGATGTCAGAATGAACCTCTTTTCAGAGCCATAAACCAAATAAAACCACCTTAATTTTAATTACCAAGTTCTATAAAGTTGGTGCATTGATTAGAGCAACAAATATTAAAAAAATTCACCAAAATCTTTAAACTTGCTTGAATTTGTTCATAGAGGCTCCTTTGGAATTTTAAATGCCAAAATGAAGTTCATAATGCTGAAAAATGGTCAAAGGGCCCCAAAATGGCTGGAATAGACTTGTTAGAGCCCGAAATTGGACCTGGATTAGGCTAGGCTAGTTGGGCCGACCGACCATCCGGTGCCAGCAATAGTGCTGGTGGCCTGTCCAACGCCTTGGCGCACATTACGGGCACCTTTTTGGTGCCTTAGTAGGTGTCAATGTCTATTAAAGATATTTTGTTCTCTCTTTTTTTTTTTAAGAGTTTTTTTTTTCTTGAAAATATATTTTTCTCTTTTGTTTAGGAAAGAGACTTTCATTTTTTTATTCAAAAATGAAATTGGCTGACAAAAATGAAAACATTCCAATTAGCTTGAATAGAATTTAAGATATAATAACGAAGCAGCCACATATTCTAAAATATGAAAGGAACTGGCCCTTAAAATTATTATTCAAAATATGAACCAAAAGAGGACGATCAAGAGAAGCTCTGTTAAGATGTTCAGCTTTAGTGTATCCTGTCAAATTAAGCCATGAAATATAGTAAAATACTCAATCAAGCCTTTCCTACATCTAGTTACTATTCTAGATAAAGGGACAAACCTC